ACGAAAACCATTCCTATGGGAATCCTTTTTCAATGTTACGGCATGTCGTACCGTGTACGTGCTGTAAGTCAGTACCGTATGTTACCCACTCATACGATAACCATTCTTGTTATATACCAAATGTCAAAGTCCATTTTTTTCGTACTCCGATTGGTCGAGACGATATTTCGTGAATGTAACAAAGTTCGATGTTCCCCCGGCAACGGATCTCAGCGGACAACAATATGTTGTTGACCAGTAAAAACTGTACCGGAAGTGAGTTTCACGGATATGTAAGTTTTTCCAAGTTTTAAAGATTCAAATAATCAAATACTTTTTGTTTTCTTTGACATTTGGTATATAACAAAACACTTACTGATGGGAACCTCAGGAAAGCAGTTTGTTTTGTGGTCCCTCGGTCCCAGCCAATATAACTAGTGTTAATTATGGAAAGCGATTTCAATGTTACGGCATGTCGTACCGTGTACACGTGCAGTAAGGCCCTGGCTAAACGTAGAAACATGTTTCCAGAAACATGTTTACCGCGCGCATGTTTCCTCGATGTTTCCCAGTTTAGCCACATGCGAAACATTGCTGCGCGCAGCAAAGTTTGCTTCCAAGATACAAAAAGGTTTTTGCTGTGCGGCAGAAGCATTTCATGCTTCCAAGACGCATGGAAACATTGTATCCCGATGTTTCCTGACAGTTTTGCCACCTTAGGAAACATGTCAGTACCGTATTATTCCCACTCAATGTTCATACAGCATATTGTATTGTTTACGTGCTGTGAGGCAGTCCCTTATGTTTCCCACTTACAATAACCGCTTTTTTAGTAGGCATTTTCCTTTACGCTAAAGGTAAACAAGTTGTTCTTATTATCTACAGATTATGGAGAAGTTATTGTTAAATTTAGACAACTGTTATAAGATTCCTAACATAGATGTTACTGGACGCTTATGTAAAACAAACATAGCACCCAACACAGCTATGAGAGGATTGGGATCTTCTCAGGTACGTATAGGATCTTTTTTATGTCGTTATACGGGGAGTTATTGCCGAGACTCCCTAGCGGGATAAAGAGGGTAATGTTTAAGTAAACGACACACTTCACACTCGCTACCTCTACAGTAAATGGTATGGTCAAGACTCCTTTTAATTGATATAAGTATCACAACTTTTTTTTTTTTAATGAAAATCTTATTAGGGCATCCTTTTCACCGAGTCCTTGATGTCTGATATCGCTAAAAAGTGTGGGATACCAGAGCGAAAGGTAAGACTTTGACAGATAAGACTTTACGCATGCGTTGACTGCATATAAATTTGTAACGATGTGTATATGTTTCTGACACTACGTTTACGCGGAATCCGACGAAATTGTAACTGATCAAGAATTTGATCGCTACATACCCAAAATGCATTGGGAGTAAGATATTACATAGATATAACATTTAAATATCAAATAGAAAATCATGTGAAAGAGATGTAGATTATATCACATATGACTTGCTTTCATTTGGGTTAGGTTCGTGAGCAGAACATGTACAAAGAGGGTAACTTGACTCACTTCAATCAATCCCTGAGAGATTGTACTATCCGCCGAGTGTGGTCCGAGATGATGTCGAAGAGTCACTACGAGAACAGAAGACTTGCAGTGGATTCCTTTAACAAGTAAAATATTCTTCGCTTGCTAGTTACATTCATCGCCATTATGGCGGTACACTATTTATCAATATAGACCCCTTGCACTTAGGCCCTAGACGAATTGTTCTGGGGAACAAAACAATGGATCGTACTTGCATGAGAAAAGACGGCCTATTGTTTTGTCCCCAGAACAATTCCTCTAGGAACTCAATGCAAGGGGTCTATGCCCCTTGTATGTGACGTCAAAGCAGCTCAATTTGGAGCACATTTGGGATTGAAATTATTTTGCTTTGTCCTCCAAATTGAGCTGCTTTGACGTCACATACAAGGGGTATATAAACGGCTAATTACTTTCCTTTGTTAATACCGCCAACATAAGCTGTCTTTCTCTCTGGACATTCTTGGACAATGGTTCAACTATAACCTTTGCTGCGCGACTGATTGGGAAGCACTGTAAATATTTAATGATCAAACTATTAACAATTATCAAAATTTTTCAGACAAAATAAGTGGAAGAAACGAGGTATATTCGTTATGCCAGGCAAGTACGGCATAGGATTTACCATTCCAGATTTCATGCAGGTAGGAATTGACTTCACATGACAGTAAAGCCTTTATTTTTGTTGTTGTTGTTTGTTGTTTGTTTGTCTCCTTAATTTAAATGCGCTTGCCTAGCCAGTCACCTACCCCTCACCCCCTCTCCCCTTACCCCATCACCCCCGCCCCTTTACCCCCTCAGCCCCTTATCCCTATGATATGATAATAGGCAAACACTTAACTTAAGTCTATTTGATTTCTTATTCAGAGTGGTGCTCTTGTGTCCATCTATACAGATGGTACCGTACGTATCTCTCACGGAGGTGTGGAAATTGGTCAAGGTTTACATACCAAGATGGTACAGGTATGAATAAATACCCCTCTTACTCACACCCCAACCCAGCCCAACCCAACCCAACCTCACCTAACCCTCTTACTAGTCTCGAGAAACTTTTAAACTCGAGTTTACGGAGGTGTGGAAATTGGTCAAGGTTTACATACCAAGATGGTACAGGTATGAATAAATACCCCTCTTACTCACACCCCAACCCAGCCCAACCCA